GTAAAGCCCTAAAGCCTGGGACAGGCAGACACCGTCACTCTGCTCTGCAGCCTGGGGAACACCCACAGCAGAGCACGGGCATCGCTATGCCAAAAGCATCCCCAGCCAGTGGTTCCCCCCCTTTCCTTGACGCCTCCAGCAACGGAGAGTCCCCCCATTCCCTGCTGTCTGTCCCCTGCCTCCCTGTGCTGACAGTGAAGTATCCCGATGTCCAGGCTAAACCTGCTTGGCTGCAACCTCAAGCTGTTGCTGCATCTCCTGTGCTGCGGTGAGGGAGGAAAGGTGCTCCCTCGCTCATGGCAGCGCTTCAGGTACTTGCAGACAGCTGCCACGTGCCCTTCCGCCCCACGCACAGCACTTTGCATTTGTCCCTGCTGTATTTCACCTGATTTGATTCAGGCCATTTCTCCAGTCTCCCCAGGCTGGTCTGAGCCCCAGTGCCGTCTCCAGAGGGTCTGCACCCAACCCACAGTCGTGTCCTATGCAAATTGGCTAAGTGTGCACTCAAGCGCACCCGCTGAGCCACGAGCAAAGGCACTGGAGCAGCCCCCGACCCAGGGCAGCCCCTGGGGACCCTGGGCCCTCCACCCACATTGAGCACTATCGCCCCCGCTCGGCTCCCACTTGATGGCAGCTCAGCATGGAAGCGGTGCCCACAGCCCCGCGGGCAATGCCCCACAGTGCCAGGTCAGACTGTCCATCACTGCAGCAGGCAGCACAGAGGCTTGGGGCAGGGCTGCGGGGTCAAGAAGTTAGGGGGAAGCAGGAGGAGTCTGAGGGTCTGGCTGGGGCTGGCTCTGCGCTCAGCTCCCCCGAGGGCAGTGCGGGGGGAACCTGCGCTCATGCCCCACACGCTGCATCCCAGACCCCCGCTGCCCAGGGAACGTCACTGGTGCCTGGGACTGCTGGGACCCAGCCGTGATCCATCCCCTGGGACTCCAGCCCACTATGGCCAGGCTCTGCCGCTGGGGCCCGGCTCAGCTCCTCTCTCGGGATGGCCCAGAGCCTGCCAGGTGGCTCCTGGTCCCTGCCCTGGCTGTGGGCTGGGTACTGCGGCCTCCTATCAGGGCCGCGGGCACCTGCCTTTGGCAGCCCTCACCAAGTCTTCCCTGGCCTCAGACGGGGGAGCCAGGGGCTCTGCGCCGGCTCCTCCCAGCAGGAACCTGCATCTCGTTCCCAGCCTGGTTTATTCCTGGCCAGTTGATCCCCAGCTGTCCCAGCGCCAGCGCCGGCCTGGGGCTCCAGCAGTCCCCAGCCCTGGGTATTCATAGAACATCACACTCCCCCTTGCACGCCTGACCCCAAGCTTGAGCCTCTGCAAGGACCGGTCTGGCCCCCGCCCCAGGGATGGGAGTGCACAGGCACGTGGGGAGCAGCCCAGTAGCTGGGGCTCCTTGTGCTGCCTGCAGCACTGGCGGCGACGTGGAGATGCAGCCTCTGTGCTGAGGCTGGCGGTGCTGTGCAGCCCCCGAGGGTCAGCATCAGAAAGACCCAGGGCCAGCCCAGACCCGGCAGAGGCACAGGGAGTCAGGCCCACGGGAGGAGAGTGAGGGGCCTGAGGGGAACCAGTGGGGCAGCTGGGCTTGGGGGAGGCGACTGTGGTGGCCGGACACAGATGCAACCAGCCACGCTGTACTGGGATGACTGACCCCAAGGCTGTGGATGGGATCCCAGGACCCACTGGTTGGACCGTGGGGCACCTAAGCAGGACACACCAAGGTGGTGCCCAGGGGTGTGAGTCAGCCCCACCAGCCTGCCCCTGCCATGGGCAAAGGTGGGCCTGTGCCAGGGACAGATGACACCTATCCCCAGGAGCCCTGACCTGCAAGGGGCTATGCCCCACTCTGGGGCCAGCAGGCACGGCCAGTCCTGGCTCCACAGCCCCCTGATGCACCCACCCCAAGACCACAGCCCTTTCCTGGGGGCAGCAGGGGGTGGGTTCAGCTCCGTGGTTCTGGGCTTTGCACCAGCTGGGGCCTGGAGAGCGGCTGGGCTCCAGGGCCTGCTGGAGAGCAGCAGGGAGCAGGCACTGTGCTTGAGGCAAGGTAAGTACTAATGGGCCCACTAAGCATCAGGATAGGGGAGTACAAAGGGCAAGTACTGGGGGCTTAGGTGTCTCTATACTAATGCTAGGAGTATGGGGAATTAGCAGGAGGAACTTACAATCCTGCTTTTAGAGACAGATTTCAACCTGGTTGGGCTAACAAAAACCTGGTGAGACCCTACCCACGATTGGGCAGTGGGCATCTAGGGCTACAGGCTGTACAGGCAGGACAGACTGGGGAAAAAGGCGGGGGGGGGGGTTGGGGGGCGTTGCTCTATATGTTAAGGAACATTATACATCTTCTGTAATAAAGATGGGGACAGAAGAAGGGCAGATCAAAGTCCTGTGGGTCAGATTACAAGCGGGTAGGGGTGAAAGGGACTTAGTAGTGGGGGTCTACTGCAGACCTCTGTATCAGGGGGACGAGTTACACCAAGAATTTGCGAGGCAGCTCTCAGAGGCAGTGCGCTCAAAGGACCTGGCTGTCATGGGTGACCTAAATTACCCAGATGTGTTGGGAGGAGCAGTCGGCCAGGTCTGAACACTCACACAGGTTCCTAACCTACATACAGGACCTGAACCCAATACAGGAGGTGCACAGTCCCACTAGGGGAAATGCGTTACTCAACTTGGTGCTGGCCACAGGGGAGGACTTGGTCAGGGATCTGCAGGTACAAGGCAACCTAGGATATAGTGACCACCTGTTGATAGGATTCACTATCTGGTGAAAGGTGGGAAAGATAACTAGTAGGGCAGAAGCACCAGACTTTCAGAAGGCCAATTTCACTGAGCTCAGGAGATTAATAGAGTGGGACTGAGGGGTAATAACTTGGGTGAGTTGGGAGTCCAGGAAGGTTGGGAGTTCCTCAAGGGACTGGCCCTGCAGGCACAAAGCGGGACCATCCCAGTACACAGGAAGGGAGGCAAGAGAGGAAAGAGAGCCAAGAAACCCTCTTGGCTGAGCAGGGAAATCCAGAAAAGCCTACAGGGGAAGAGAGAGATTTACAAGCGGTGGAAGCAGGGAGCTGCCACCAAGGAGGAGTACACCTGCGTGGTTCGCACTTGCAGGGAAGCAGTGAGGAAGGCCAAAGCAGAAACAGAACTCAGGCTGGTTACTACAATTAAGGGTAACAAAAAGACCTTTAAGTATACAGGGAGCAAGAAGGCAGTGCAGGGTAACATAGGACCGCTACAGGATGGACTAGGGCAGTTCGTAGCAGCTAGGGTGGACAAAGCTGAGCCCTTAAACAATTTCTTTGCATTTGTGTTCCTGCTCATGGACTTTAGTCTGGCTTGAGAGAGATACCAATCCACCAACGGTTAACACTGACCTGGCAAAGGGGCACGTGGAGGGGCTGGATGTATTAAAGTTGGCACGCCCCACTGATCTTCACCCAAGGGTACTAAAGGAATTGGCCGGTGTCATAGTGAAACCACTGGTACAACTGTTTGAGTGCCTGTGGCTCCCAAGGAGAGGTCCCAGAAGACTGGAAAAGGGCCAGTGTGGTGCCTATTTTTAAGAAGGGGAGGAAGGAGGACCCAGGTAATTATAGGCCAGTTAGCCTCACCTCTATTCTTGGCAAAACCTTAGAAAAAAATCATTAAGGATCACATTTGTGGGGGGGCAGTAGGTAATACAATGTTAAAGGGGCAAGAAGCATGGGTTTATAGCAGGCAGATCCTGTCTGACTAACCTGGTCTCTTTTTATGACCAGGTCACAGAGTGCTTAGACACAGGAGTAGATGTAGATGTTATTTACTTGGATTTTGAAAAGGCTTTTGACAGTGTTGCACCCAATTCTTACAAGCAAAATGAGTAGCTATGATGTTTATTTTTTCAGTCAGGTGGGTGGAAAACTGGCTTATGGGATGCACTCAGAAAGTGGTGGATGGGTCAGTCTCTACCTGGAGAGATGCAGGCAGTGGTGTCCCCCAAGGCTCGGTCCTTGGACCGGTACTGTTCAATATCTTCATCAGTGATCTGGATGATGGTGTAGAGAGCACTCTGTCCAAATTCACAGATGACACCAAACTATGGGGTATAGTAAACACACTAGAGGGTAGGGAGTGAATTCAGGTGGATTTGGATAGACTGGGGAAGTGGGCCGATCAGAATAGGATGCAATTTAACAAAGCTAAGTCTAAAGTGCTGCACCCGGGGAGAAAGAATCACCAAGACACCTATAGGCTGGGAAGTACCATTCTATGTAGCACAGCAGCAGAAAGGGATCTTGGAGTCTTGGTCGAAGCAAAAATGAATGCGAGTCGCCAATGTGATGAGGTAACAAGTAAGGCTAATTGTACTCTTTTTTGCATTAGTAGGTGCATCACAAGCAGGTCTAGGGAGGTGATGCTTCCCCTCTATGCGGCACTGGTGAGGCTGCAGCTAGCGTACTGCATCCAGTTTGGGGAACCGCACTTGAAGATGGATGTGGATAATCTGGAAAGGGCTCAGAGGAGGACTACTTGTATGGTTGAGGGCCTGCAGGTAAGATCCTATGAAGACAGACTGAGGGACCTGAATCGCTTCAGCCTGTGCAAGAGAAGGCTGAGAGGCAATCTCGTGGCTGTCTACAAACTCATCGGGGGGGTCAGCAGGGAATAAGGGACACTGTTTACCAGGGCACCCCTTGGGGTTACTAGAAACAATGACCATAAACTGAAGTAGATTTAGATTGGACATCAGGAAGAAATTGTTTATGGTGATGGTTGCCAAAATATGGAATGAACTTCCAAGGGAGGTGGTGCTTTCCCCTATGCTGGAGGTGTTCAAGAGGAGATTAGACAAGCACCTGGCTGGGGTCACTTGACCCCAGTGCTCTTTCCTGCCCAGAGCAGGGGGTCAGACTCGATGATCTAATAGGTCCCTTCTGACCCTAGAAATCTATGCAATCTATGAGGTGCCCCGGCAGGGTCCTATCCCAGCCAGGGGCAACATGCGGCACTGACATGGATGCATACAGCAGCAGGAAACCAGCTTTATTGATGCTGTTTTGTTCAAGGGGATGTGGCCCTGGGGCAGGGCAGCCAGTTCCTCAACCTGCAATATGGAAGCTCAGAGTATCAAAAAGGGGGAGAAGCCGCAGCAAGTGCGGGGAGCAGCTGGGGCCCAGCCCGGGCAGGGTGCCATGGGCACTTAGTCACTGGGATCCGTGCTGGGGTGGGTGAGGCCACGGGTCAATACTTTGGAGTTCAATGGTACAAAAATACTGGCAATCTCAACACAGGCACTTGGGCTCGAGAAGCTGCAGGAGGGCTGGGTGGCCCCACGGGACAAGGCACAGCAGGTAGGGGAGGGACTACAAACCGGGGCTGGCCTCACAGCCCAGGCAAAGGCACCCTGGCCCCCCGCTGCGGTGCCCGCAGGAGTGTGGGAAAAGGTGCAGCAGGCAGTAAGGCATCAGCGGTGAGGGTGGGTCTGTGCAAGAGGGAGGCATGGGGACAGCTTCTGCCAGCTCCACACGCTCCACTGTGCTGCAGACCCAAAGGCCAAGGGCCAGGCCAGGAAGGCACTGGCAGCTGGGGCCCCAAGTCCTGAGAGGGGGCCGCCCAAGGCACAAGGGAAGCACCTGACAGGGGTCAGGAGGGGGGCAAGGCAAGGCAGGAGGCAGCACCAGGGGCTGGGGGTGCCAGCCTGGCCTGGCAGCACTCCCACCTCAGCCAGGTCCCACCGTGCGCAGGGCAGGGGGAAGCGTGTGCGCGGGCAGCCCTGGCCGGCGTGGGAAGGTGGTGCTGGTGCAGGCCCTGGGCCGCAGCGTGGGGTGGCGCCGTGCGAGCCAGGCTGGGGCCATATTAAATAGGAGCAGAGGGCAGCAGTCTCTGCGGGGGCGAGCGGGCGGCACTGCTTGCGTGGCCCCTCAGTGCTGCCCCTCATCCCGCAGCTCTGAGGGCAGGAACTTGTACTGCTGCTGCCGGATCATGGCCAGCTTCTTCCGTGCCTCCTCCAGCTCCCGCTCCTTCCGCAGCATCTCTTCCTGTGCCGCGATGATCTGCAGGGGCAGTGCTGTGAGCCCTGAGCAGCCGGATATGACCCCTGCCCCCCCAACCAGGCACAGCCCATGGGTCTGCCGTCACGCCTGGGCAAAGGCACCACGCAGATCTGGTGTGGCCCTGGGGGCTGCCGGCACCGCTGCTTCTCTGTGCCCCCAGCGCCTCTCAGCAGCCCAGCCAGGCTCTTGCCCTGGGGGTGGCTGGTCTCTCCCTGGGACAGGCCATGCCCAACTGGGTGCATCACCCTTCCTGCCCCAGGCCCTTCCCTGCAGCACCAGGGGTGACACTAGCAGAGATGGAAAATGGGGCTGGGAGGACTTGGGGCCAGCCCCTCTCTTGGCACTGCACCCTGTTGTTGCCCCCCGCCGTGGGGCAACATCTTACTGCACCCTCCACCAAGGGGAAGCCCAGCCAGAAACAGGGGTGGGGTGGGCTGGGCACCAGCCAGCAGCAGTGACAGCATGGAGTAAATAACATGTGGTACCGTGCAGCTGTGAAAGCCACGGCCTTGGATGGACCCACAAATTTGAGGGGCCATGAGGGCTGTCCCCCAGCATGGAGCCGCCCTGGGCAGCAGCACCTGCCCTATCCCATCCCCACTGTGCTCAAGCGCCTGTGCAGGGCAGCGAGAGCCTGCTGGAGCCGAAGCCACCCTCACCTGCGCAATGCCCCCCACCATCTTTTCCTTCACCACCACTGTCTCGTCGTGGTCCTGGAAGGCGGCGGCCTTCTGGGCGGCCTTCACCAGGTTGTCTGACGCCCTTTTCACAGCATTGCCGGCAGCCTGGATAGGCGAAAGAGTGCAGGGCCAGTGAGCCCGGCCAGCCCCGTGCCCGGCACCCCCCACCCACAGGCACAGCTCTGTGCATGGCAGCTGCCAGCCCCCACCCTGGACTGGGAACAACGGGGGGGGGGGGGGGGGTAGGACAGCAACAGGAGCTCGTGTGCCCAGTGCTCCCCAGAGGAAACCCCCAGTGTGCTGCAACCCAGGGCATGCGCCCCAACTCAGTTAACCAGGGCCTTGTGCCTGCACCCAGCTTTGCTCTCCCCCACAGCTAACCCAGGGAATGCCGGAGACTGGGGCTTCATACCCCGCACCCTGGTGCACATGCTGAACACCAGAGCCCCTTATTCCCAGAGCACTCAGTCATCGTTAATCCCCAAGCACCAAACAGTAAGGCGTTAGGGTTAGGGGCTGCTGTGGCTTACAGTTCCCTGGGCTTGAAGCAGGGGGCATGAGCACTGCAGAGATGCACCGTGCACCACAGATGCCCCCTGGATAGGGCCAGGCTGCCCTCACAGGCCCATGTCTAGTACCTGGGTCAGGGCAGGGCCCTGGCAGTGCACAGCCCAGGTGCCCTGGGCTAAGCCATGGGCCCTGGGAGCTCCCCGTGGCAGGCACCCATGCAGTGGGAGTGCCTTAGGAGACATCCCCACGCGGCCGCTGATGTACCTTGTCCTGGTCCCCCTTGCAGCAGGGACTCACCTGCAGCCTCTTCATGGCCTCTGAGTCCTGGTCAGCCTTGACCTTGCAGGCTACCAGGAGCTGGGCAGTGGAGGCGGCCACCTGCTTGGCGGACGAGATGAGCTTTTCCTCGCTGGCGTGGCCCTGCACCGCTGCATTCGCCGCTTCGCACAGGTTGTTGGTGGCAGCTGCCACCATGCGGGCCTGGCAGAGGCACCAGCTGGTCAGAGGCGGCTGGGAGCCGCCAGCCCTCTGGTGTGTGGTGGGAGTGGGACAGGGCTGCACAGGTCCCACAGGTACAAGACCCCATGTTCAGGCAGTGACAGGGAGGGCACTAGGCCTGGGCAGCAACCCCTGTCCACCCCACAGGGTGGGGCCAGAGCCAGTGATTCCCGCCCACTGCAGGGGAGTGTTCGCTGCCTGCAATACTCACGGCTGAGATGAGCCCCTGGGACCACTGGCCGTCATCCACCGCGTTAGCCGGGATGGCGCCAACCTGGGGAGTCAAGAGAACGTCAGTCCTGTTCTACTGTGTCTGCCCCTCTGGGCAGTGGCCTGGCAGGATGAACATGGGCTGCAGCAAGGGGCCAGCGGCCTGGCCTGTCCTGGTGCTCCCCCCAGAGACCTCAGAGCTCTCCCTGGAGGGGAGGAGGACGAGGACCAGGACCAGGACATGCCGGGGTCTGCTGAATTGAGTACCCTCGGCCCCCGTGCTCCACTCTCCCCCGTCACCGCCCAGCTTGTACCTTTCCTTGGGCCACCAGCTCCCTCTGGGCGGCTGAGGCTGCCTTCACCAGGGCACTGGTTGCAGCAGCGATGGACTTGGCGGCCTCCAGGATCTGCTCCTCGAAGTTCAGGCTCTCGTCCGCCTGCTGCGGAGGGAAACGCATGAGATGTGGCAGGCGGGCGGCAGTGGCAGCACACAGGCACCAGAGACAGACGAGGAACAGGGTGGGTACAGAGGAAGAAAGGGGCCAAGCAAGCCAGTGCTGACACTTACCTTGGGCTTGGCTCTTGGCTTCAGCTGCTCCAGTTTCTTGGCTGCGGCCTCGATGGCGGCAGCTGCCCCCAGCAGCTCATTCTCGGCAATGACAGTGGGGTCCTCAGGATCGACCCATTCGGTGCCTGGAGATGCAGCACCGTGGCACAGTTACCATGACAAAGAGCTAACCCCAATATTGCTCACTGCTGTGGAGCACCCAGGCATCTTAGCTCCAACCCACATGAACCTACTCCCCATCCAGAGCCAAGGATGGGACCCAGGTGTCCTGGCTCCCTACTCCTGCAGCTACCCAGCTGCAGGCCAAGCTGAGCTGGCAGGGGGGCACGGCGCATTACCTTTCATGGCCTCAGCAGCCTGGATGAGCTCGGTGACGGAGCCGGCCACGCGCTTGGAGTACCCTGCCAGCTGCTGCTTCAGCTCGTGGCTCGGCTTCTGCAGGATCTGCGATGGGGTGGAAGTGGGCATGAGCAAGCCAGACCAGGCTGTGCTGTGGGAACCTGTGGCAGCCCCTCTCCAGACCCCAATCTGGGGTCAGCCCCCATCCCAGGAACCCTGCCCCCAAGCTTGTCCAATAGGGGACACTGCCTCACTGGCCTCCCCCTGCCCACACCTGCCCCAGCCCCTGGTATTGGGGTGCTGGAAAAGAGCTGCTTGTCCAGCCCCCGTTCTAGTTTTGGTTCCCACCAGTACTTGGGCTGGTGCTGCACGGGGGTCGTAGCCCCAGCCCGAGGGAAAATGCCACATCCCTGCATCTGGCTCCTCCACACTTTGTGGGCTTGTCTTCCAATGTGGGGAGGGCCACAGCTGTCCTTGCTGAACACTGGCCATGGGTGGCAGGAGCACACCCGGCATGGCATAACCCCATCCCTCCCCGCTGGGGTCACCCATCCCGGGACCCACCCTCCCCAAGTCCTTTGGGCCTTGGAGTCAGCCAGACTTCAGCTTCCACAACCAACATTGGTCTGGAGGATGGGGGGAAGTGTCCAGAGTGAGCTGAAGACCTGCTGTAGCAGGGGTCAGTCCCACACCCGAGTCCCTGGGACCAGCACCGAGCAGCTGGGGGCAAGGAGCATGACAGGTGAGGCCTGGCTCCACCAGGTGCTGGTCCAGCTCCTCGCACGCTGCACCTGGCACTGCCGCCCTGTAAACCCATCAGGTGGCAGCTCCTGGGAGCCAACACACAAGGTCATCCAATGTCATCCTGTGCCCAGAGAGGGGCCTCAGGGCAGCCCTTGGTGGGGGTGGGCAGAGGGCACAGCAGGAATGCCACGCCACACCATGCAGAGCACACACAGAGCACGCCCCTGCCTCATGTTACTGCCCTCTCACATACCAGCCTCTGGTTACCATGACTGCACACATGCACAAAGCAGAGCCCTCACCATGTGTTACACAGACTGCACACACACGTACACACAGAGTTCACCTCAACCTCATGTGAATAGGACTGTGGGTGAGCACACGCACACAGCACCACGGTAACCTTCTACACCTGGGTACATGGAGAACATGCCCAGCCTATAACAATAACCACCCAATGCCCAGAGCCTGTGTGCGCGCGCGCACACACACACGCGCACACACAGCCCTTCCCCTGCTTTATAGATTCATAGATTATAAGGTGCTGGAAGGGACGTCACAAGATCATCAGGTCTAGCCCCCCTGTACTAGGCAGGAAAGACAGCTGGGGTTAGGTGAACCCAGCGAGGTGACTGTCCAGTCTCCTCCTCTCACCTCGTGTCATCCACACTCCATGTGCATGCACACATACATGTACCCAAGCCTCACATCCCCCAGGGCATGTGGAGACACACGCAAAGCACATGCATACAGTGCCATCCCCGAGTCACTCAGGGCACCTCAGGCCTCAAATCTGCATCACTGAGACCATGTATGCACGTGCGCGCACACACTCACACAACCACACGTGCCCGCACACGCGGGCCAGGAGCAAGGTTCGTGCTGGCCAAGCCCCAGCACCACGCTGAGCACTGTGCTACTCACCGGCTGAAAAGATAAAGCCAAGGGGACACGGAGAAGAGAAAGGAGGAAAGTGGTGAGTGCCGGAGGCCGCGTGTGGGAAGGGTGCCAGGGCAGGTGCTGGGCAAGGGTCCAGCAGGACCTGGCCAAGCACACAGGGCCAGGGCCTGCCCCTTGGGGGGAGCAGGAGCCCCCTGGGCCACAGATGCTCCAGGAGCATGGGGGCAGGGGCAAGAGAGGGGAGGCCAGGGCTAGGAGCCAAGGGCTGCGAGGGGTCCCGGAAGTTAGAGCTACTGGCCCCAGCACGTCAAGGCCCAAGGGGATCACTGGTCCCTCACTCTGCACTGTGCAGCCCTGTCCCATCTGGATGGGCAATGCAGGGGACGGGGTCCCCCTCCACCATCCCCACAGTGCTGGGGCCCATCCCTCGCTGTCACACTCCTGCACCTTCTCAGGACTCACAGCCTCAAGATGCCCCTGCAGGAGCCATGTTTCCAGGCTCAGGTCATGCCCAAGCCCTTCCCACTCCATCACCCCCTGGCAGGACAGAGGGTCTCACTTGCAGGTCCCCCTGCTACAGCGCTGAGGAGGGAGCTCAAGGGCAGGTGCTTGTTCCAGCATGGACCACCCCTGCCCAAGCCACTGTGCTCTGGCGCCCAGCCGGAGGCCTGATATGCAGCTGACATCTTGGGTGCCTGGAGCGCTGGGGAGCGCGTGGCAGAATTCCTGGCTGGAACCATGGGCCTGGGACTCTAACCAGTGTTCATGCGCCAATGGAGGTGCCTCATGATACTATGCCCTGGCCCCACCAAGCTGGCATGAGCTGGGCAACCTGTTATCAGACCAGGGACTCACAGGCAGCTAGATATGAGGCTAGTTGGTCGCTACCCGTGCGCCCATAGCCAGGACACAGTGGGCCCCAGCCTGGCACCGCCGTGGGCCCCGGCACTGCAGGCAGCAGTGCGTCAGGCTAAAGAGCATTTCTGGAAGCACTCTGCTCATCTCAACTCACTCATGCCATTAACCTTTCCTCGTCCCGAATTAGAGCGTGTCCAGCTCCACCAGCCAGTTGCTGGGCTGACTGCCTTGCAGCGAACCCAAGACCCTTTCAGCACTGGCATCTCCTCCCTCATGCTCTTGGCATGGCCCTGCCGCCCCGCAGCGAGCAGAAAAGGCCAAGCAGAGCTGCACAGGGCTGGATAACGACGTGCCTCAGAATCGTGAAGCCATGGGCCTGGAGGAGATCCCGGAGGTCACATCCAGTCCAAGCCCTGCCTGAGGCAGGATCAGCCCCGTCCAAACCAGCCCAGACAAACCTTGTGTCCAAGCTCTGAGCAGCACAACACCAGCACCCTGACGCAGCCCCCAGCATCGCCCCTGCCACAGGGAAAAGAGAGGGGCTGCAGAGGCCAGCAATCCAGCTGCCCTGTGTACCTGCCCTGCCCCTGCCCCAGCAGCACCAGCAAGACATTCTGTGAGGTCCTGCGTGGCACTTGCCACCACACCTTGCCAGCCCCCCTGTGCCTCAGAGCACAGTGGGACCGAAGGCTTGAGGCTCATGCTGGGGATGGAGCAGGCTCTTGCAGTCTGGGTGGCAGGAGCATGGCTGTGACCACTGAACTGCGGCTGGGCTGCACCGTGGCTGGGGGCACCGCGAGAGGCGGGGGTCACTCACCAGCAGCACGTGTTCCAGCAGCTCGAGGTAGCCATTGGTGCACTCCTTGCCATAGCGCAGCGCCCGCTGCCGCACGTCCATGCTCACCTCCGGGTGGTAGGCGGCTTCCTGAAACCGCAGGCAGAGCGTCAGGCTGTGTCTGCCCAGGCCTCATTCACAGCTATTGCTGCCACCAGGACCTCCCACCATTGCTCTCCCCATGCCTGCCCAAGACCCCCACCTGGCTCAGCTCAGCCCAGCCTACCTTGCAGGCGCGCAGCATATCGGCGATGGCACGACGGCTCAGATTTGCCGTGGCGATCACATCCTCCTGTCGGCACGAGTTGCCAGCAGCAACGGCCTTGGCAGTTGCCAAGGTGATGCCTTTGGTCATCCGGATGAAATCCTCAGGGGTCGAGGTCTTGTCCGGAGGCATGTGGGAGGAGAACACCTGCGGGGAGAAGCTGGGGTGAGGCCAGAGACAAGGCGGGGCAGGTCCCATGAACCCCTGCCCCCACGGTCATGTCCACCCCAGCACAGGCGCCAGCTCTGGTACTGGCAGCTGTGCCATGTCCTGCTCCTGCACCAGGCAGCGGGTGCCAAGGCAACTGGTAGGGGCAGAAGCAGAGGATGCTGGGGGGGTCTTGTTTAGGCAGCGCTCACCGCGAGCTCCTGGCGGATGTGCTCAATTGTGGCCTCTAGCGCCCGTGTCCCCTTTGTGGCCTCGTCCTCCACGGCCTTCACAGTCTTCAGCAAGGATGTAACGTTGGTGACCATGACCTGCCAAAAGAAGTCAACTCAGCCAGGCAGAAGGCCAGGAGCCCCCAGTCTGGCCCCTGCAGCATCCCCTGAACCTCCCTTAGCTCCTCCACCCCCCCTTAACACCCCTGTACCTTCAGCCCTGTCACCTTCTCCCCTGAGGCCTCTTACTCACACAGGACATGTAGTGCCAGCACCCACCAGCCCCCTGCTTCCTCCTCCTTGCTGGCCCCAGGCACCCTGCTCCCTCCCTCACCACTCAGTGACATCTCCCCGGCCCTGACCTTGGCCGAGTTCTTCAGCTGATAGACAGCAGGGTCATCTCCTGCTTTGCCGGCAGCTGCCTTGGTTGCACTGATCAGGTCCCCGAGCGCCTTGGCCACGTCTTTCACTGCGTTGATCAGGACCACCTGGGTGGGGGCAAAACCTGGGTGAGGGGCTGCCTGAAGTGCAGGGGTCCCAGCAGGCAGATAGCAAGGCCAAATCCTTGCTGTGAACCCGGTGCCCAGGCACTTGCACCTGAGTGTCCCAGGACAGCTGCAGAGTCCCCCAACACCCAGTCCTGGATGTCCCAGAGGGCTGGGCCTCCCAACCTGAAACCCCAGGGCGCCCAGAGCTCAGGCAGCACCAGGCCTTCTGGCACGCCAAGTGCCTGGTCAAGCCCCTTGGGCCCGAGTTCCCAGGGCACCCAGCCCCAGCCCCTCCTACCTGGGTCTCGGGGTCTTCAGAGCCCAGGCTGGCGGCGCCCAGCTTCACCACCTCCGCCAGGCGGGTGATGGTGGCCACGGAGGACTGGGCAGCCTGCGCCAGCTTCTCCTGGCTGGCCGTGGCATTCTGCACCAGTACCTTGGTGTCCTCCACCAGTGCCTTGGCTGTCTTCAGGATGCCCTCCCTGCGGGGCACAGGGTGTCATGCTGGGTCACACAGAACCAGCACACATGTGTGACACACGCATGTGCAGCTAGGGGGGCTGCACAGCTGTGCCTGTCCTCTGTGCTGACCCTGCAGTCAGAGTCAGAACACACCCAGACAGCACAACTTGAGGCTTGCACCCCCATAGGGGAAGGCGTGACATGCCAGCATCCACCTTGGGTACATATGAATAGGGGCAGGGGGATCAGAGACAGCCTGGCTGGCACCTTCCAGATGCCCCAGGGCCAAGGGCAATGTGACCAGAGGACTCTAGAGCCATGGGATGGAGTCCCCTGTCCCCATCCCTGATCTCTGTGCACAGCCGTGGGGCAGGGGGAGGGTCGGGGTACCCGGTTCTGGTACCTGTGGTCAGCAAAGGTCTCAGCGTTCTCCCGGTTCAGGGTGCCGGCAGTGGCGAACATGATGGTGGTGTCGAGGTCGGCGATGATGCCCGAGACGGCACTGGCGGCGGTGATGCAGGCCTGGGTGCCACGGTTTCCAGCCTGCAGGGCTGCCAGCACATGGGACACCTGTGGGGAGGGGTGGCATGAGTTGGGCACCAGGGCTATCACCTGAGCCAGACCCAGCACCACAGGGTAGGTTGGACTGGGGGTGCAGCAGGGGCCCCGCACCGCACCAAGGGTCCCGCCCTCTCCTCCCAGTTCCCCTCTGGTTCCTCTGCCCCCCCTGGCAGGTCCAGCAAGGCCCTATCTGCCCTGCCCCAGCCCCTGCCCTGCCAGGCACCTTCTCGGAGACTTTGCGGGCGCACTCGATCAGTTCCTTCTTGGTGTAGGCATCGCTGGGGCTGCACTGCAGGGCTCCGGCCTTGGTCACCAGTGCAGCGCAGCCATGGCCCAGCTCCTGCACCCGGTTCTTGATGTGGAAGCCGATCTAGGACGAATGCAAGGATGTCACCCAGAATGGGCACAGTGCTGGGACCCCTCAGTTTCCCGTGGGGAACCCCAATTGTCACCCCCAGCCCCAGCAAGATGTCCCAGTGCCCCCACCAAGGAGCCAGCCCCTGCACCACCCCTGGCCCCTCACCTCCTCGTTCTCGGCAGTGAGGGCGGCGGGCTTCGCCTGGTGTGCCAGTTGCCCGTACTCGCTGGTGAGCTGGTTGGCCAGAGTGCCCAGCTCGTCAGGGCTGGTTGTGGACTTGGTGACCTGTAGGGAGGGCAGGGGTCAAAGGTCATGGGCCCGCCAGCTCTGCAGAGGGGAGTGGGCAGGCACAGGTGCCGCTGAGGGAGGGCCGACAGCAGAAGCAGCACCGTGCAGGCCTGGTTAGCCCCAGCACTCACCATCTCTTGCACCGTCACAGCGATGGCCTTGGCAGTCTTGACCATGGTGGTCTGGTAGTCTACAAAGGTGCCTTCTGGCTCCCCCATGGGCCCCTCGTCCAGCTGCCAGGGAGAAAACCCTGAGTGAGGGGCCCTGCAGCAGCCTCAGCTTTGCTCCCACATACCACTTTGGGTCAGAGGCAGGCTGCTATCCCCTTCCCTACAATACCCTGCTTATGTCTCCCCATAGCCTGCCCCTGAGCAGGCCCTACCCTGGGGCATCGACTCCCCAAGTCTCCTTGCAAGCCCTGGCCAAGTCAGGAGGCTGCAGCTCCCAAGTGTGTGACCCCATGGGAGCAGGGACCTGAGCACTTGGGAACGTAAGGGCCAAGTGGGTCAGACCCACGATTCTGCCTCTGACAGCGGTGGGTGCTTTAGAGCAGTGCTCTGACTTCTAAACTCTGGGGGCCACGCCTTTCCCCATCATTGCTGGCATGGGGCTGCCAGAGGAGACACCTGCCTGCTCTGCTCTACAGCTGCTCACGGATCCATTGTCTATGGACCCATCCAGCCCCTCTTGAATGTGACTGCTCCCTGCCTCTATCGCCTCCAGTGCCAGCCAGTTCAGCCACGGAGTGTGTAAAAGAAGCACTTCCGCTGGTTTGTTTTCAGCCTGCTCCGATAATTTCACCACATACCTGAAGTATCCAGTACTGTGGGACATGGTGAAGAACAGACCCTGTGCTCACTGTTTGCACCCTTTAGGATTTCATAGCCCTCTGTCATGTTCCCTCAGCCTTCTCCTCTCCAGACTTGCATCCCAGCCTTTCCATGTGCTCCCAGCACAGCACCTGCTCCAGACCCCTGATCATCCTGCTTGCCCTTCTCTGAACCTTTTCTAATTCCACGACCTCCCATGCGAGAGGCCCCTGGCAGCTCATCTCCAGCTCTGGGGGCCACAGTCCCTGGACCCCGAGACAGGAGGCGGATGGCTCTAGTGGTGCATGCTTGCCTGGTTGATGGCCTGGGTGATGGAGTCTACCATGCCGCCCACTACACCAGCAGCACTGGCAGCCTCATTCAGTGTAGTTGTCAGGTCCTCCACAGCCTCCTTCATCATCTGCACAGCCTCCTCCAGGGCCTCCTGTGTGTGGGCGGCTTGCTGAAAAGACAGGTCATGTTGGCAACAGTGGCAACTACATCACTGCAGCCATGACACAAGGGCAGTGAGGACCCAGCACCTTGACATGCACTCACAGCACCTCCAGCAGGCTCCCCATGGCACGCAAGTGTCACACGCACACCAGGCCCCATCCCATGTTTAGCACGTTTACTTTGGCATGTGCCCCTGGCACCTGGCTGCTGGTTCTCCCATAGCAAGTATGCACTGCACACATACCATCCTCTACCCTCATGTGGTACATGGCATGCACCGTGACTCCCCCGTGGCAGGTGTGCACTGCACATATGCTGCTTCCCACCGCATGTTCAGCACGTGTGCTTTGGCATGTGCTCACAGCACGGTCCTGTAGCAGCACCTACCCTGAGCCTGTGGCCACCCTCTGACCCCATGTGCTGCAGAGGACTCTCCGCCCAACCTACACACACGCCCATGTTACATGTGCGCACTCAGGCTCATTTCTTGATGCAGAAAGGGGCTGCATGCACCTGCACACATCCACAAACATGTATACACACCTGCACACACACAGACCCCTGAGCACAACTATGCACACGTGTACACAGCTGCACATGTGCGTACATGCGTGTATACACACACACATACACACTTGCACAAGCAGCCTTCCCCCCCATACACACACTTGCACAATCTTCTCCCCTGCTCCCAGCCCCATGCACAGCCCTGGTGGGCACATCCTGCTTGGTGCTGCCCCTGCCCTGCCCTGTCCAGGTGCTGGAAGCCGCCACAGCCCCCCACCTTGGGGTTGCCACCAGCCTCCTTGGCTGTGTAGAGCAGCTGTAGGGCCGACTCAGCCAGTGTCTTGGTTTGGTCCAGGAGGTTCATCTGCTGCTGGTGGTTCGGAGTCTTGGAGGCAGCGCCGATGGCAGCCAGGGTGAGCGGCTCGAAGTACTGAGCCATCTGTGACACCTGAGGGAAAGTGATCAGTCTAGTGGGGCCCAGCCAGCCCAGCCCAGCCCTGGGGCCCCTCTCCACTGGGCACAGGCTGGCCTGGACCCCCTGAACCCATACTTTCATAGTTTCTAGGGTCGGAAGGGACCTGAGTAGATCATCTAGTCCGACCCCCTGCCATGGCAGGAAAGAGTACTGGGGTCAAATGACCCCAGCAAGGTGTTCATCTAACTTCCTCTTAAAGACCCCCAGGGTAGGGGCCAGCACCACTTCCCCCGGAAGTTGGTTCCAGCTCCTAGCC